ACATGGATGTGTACATGTACGTGTCTATGCATATACATATGTGTTTGTATATGTACGTTGTATGCGTGTGCCAGCGGACCTGCATAGGTCTGTGTGTTTATATGTATATGTTTAGTATGTGTATGCGCATGTGCATATGTACGCGTATATACATATGTGAATAAATGTGTGTACGTATATGTGTATATGTGTGTATGTATATGTAAATATAACTGTAACTGTATGGGTACGCGTGTATGTATATGTTGATGTTTATGTCTGTCTATATCTGCAGGTCTGTGTACATGTATATGTCTTTGTTTATGTGCATGTATACATATACACGTCTACGCATGTGTATATGCATACGTCTATGTAGATTATTTATATCGTGTTATGGATTTATGTACATATCTATATATGTGCGTATGTATCTGTAGATATGGATATAATTACGTAACGGTACAAGTATGTGCATATGTATCGTGATGTGTCTATGCGTATGCAGGTTTATTTGTAAGCGTGTCGTTATATGTTTATGTTTATGTATATGACTATGGTATGTCGATGCAAACGTACCTGTAGGGTCATACATAAATGTACATATATGTATATATATACATATATATATATATGCATGTGTCTGCATACGTGCATGTGTATATGTGCATGCCTGGGTATACGTATATGCATATGTATGTGTATATGTATATATGGATACGTATGCATATGTATATGGACATTCAGAGTTACATGTGTATGCCTGTGTGTATGCTTGTGTCTATGTATATGCACATGTGTATGTGCATGTATAGATATATGTATATGTGTATGTATTGTGTGTATATATATATATTTATGTATGCGCACATTAGATGTAAATGTACTTGTAGATGTGCACACATACATCTTCTTGGGTTGTCTGTCCTACTGCGGCCGCGGCTTGCGCTTTTCCGCATGTTTAGGATGAGAGCCTCAGAAACGGCGGACCTCCGTGAGGGAAGGGGGGGTGGAGCGTGCAAGCCGGGGCTGGGTTGCGAATGGAATCCGGGGCTGAGGCCCATTCGTAGCCAACGCCGGGGGAACCGACACCGACCTTCTTTGACCTCGGGAGTCGTTCGATTTGGATACGATGTGGAGACGACGGCGGCCCGGCCTGGGAGGCGGGAAGCGTTGCGCAAGGCTCCCCTGGGGGCCCCGCCCGCGCCGCCGGGTGCTCCGCCCACCTAGCTTGGCGGCGAGTTCGCCGGTCCCAACAGCCATACGGCCGGGTGGAAGTCGACGTTCCGCCGTCGCCTGGCTTCGACGGCGGCCGAGGACCCGATACCCGCTCGTGCCCGCCCTGCTCGGCGCCCTGGCTTGGGCGACGACGACGGCTGCGACGTCGACGATGTCGCGGGGGAGGAGGATGCGAGAACCCGGCCCCCCCCAACGCTCGTGCCGACGCCTCGCTAGACGTCCTTCCCGACGCCTCGGTCGAGGTCGCGACTAACAACGCCACCGACGACCCTGGGGACCACAATCGGCCGCCGAGTCCCGCACAAACCCAGCCCCTTGCGTCGACCAGCGTCCCCGCATCGGCTCTGGAGCTGGTCGTTTCCGCCGCGCGGACTGGCGGGGCGGTCCGCGGCCGCGACGTCGCGAGAGAGCCACGGCAGGGGGTACCGAGAAGCTGTGTAAACGATCTCGCGGGCTGAATCGCTGGGACCCCCCTGTTGGCGAGACCTTTGGCGTTTGCGTCAAACAGCTCTGACGCGAGGCCGGGTCCGCGTTTGTCAGTGGCTGGCGCGCGCTTTGCCCGGCGCCAGACGAGGGCAGGCGGCGCGCCGCCATCGAGCTTGGGAGGCCCTCCTCCTCCTCCTCCTCCTCCTCCTCCTTCCCACCTCCTCCTCCCTCCTCCTCTCCCTCCTCTCCTCCTCCTCCATCTCCTCCTCCTCCGCCTCCTCCTCCTCCTCCTCCTCCTCCTCCTCCTCCGCCGTGAGATCTCCCGTCAGGCCGCATCCATGCGCTCGACCAATTCATCGTGAACATCCGTCGGCTGTCCAATGTTTGGCCTTCCTCCAGAGGTTCGCGGCCGCTGCGCACGACGCGACGGAGCGGGCCGAGCGAGAGAGTACGCAGCGGCGCTGCCGCGGCGCCAGCCGCTAGCGCGGGGGGGCGGCCCGCGGGCGCGGCCGGGGACCTTTGGACCCTGGGCGCGGCCGCTGCGCGCCGGGCTCCCCAGACCCCCTCGTGACGAACCAACAACACACACACACACCCATACCCATAGGGGGTCGGAAAGGGCTATGGGTGCGTGTTGTCGGATGAGGGTCCCCGCTCGAACGGGAGCGTTCCCTAGGGTCCGACAACCCGCACCCATACCCACAGCCAGTCCTCCTCCCAACGACCCCCTTATGGGTATGGGTGTGTGTTGTTCGTTCGTCACCTCGGGCAATGCAAAAATCATGACGGGAGGTTTTCCGCTACATTCGGCCTCGGGAGGCCCTTACCGGGCCTCGGGGCCGTCAAAAAGGGAGTCAGGATGAAGAGCTGGTCCAGGGGAGTGGGTCGAGACTTCTGGGGGTCGACGCCACGAAAAAGTCATGACGTCGAGGTTTTGGGTCCGGCACTCGGTTCTCCCGCGCTGGCCGGGCTTTTCCCGCGCTGGCCGGGCTTTGCGCTCGCTGGCCAGGCTTTCCTTCGCCACCGTTATTTTTTGTCCTTCACGCTGGCTGGGTTTTCGCCCTCTGGGCTCCCTGCCGGTGGTCGGGTTTCCGCCCTCTGGGCCACTTGCCCGCCCAACGCTTTGTTTCGCCAGTCTTGGCCGCTGCCTCCCGGCAGCCCCGCGGAGTCTTCCTGGTGCTGTCCAGAGAGAAGCTGAACCTGGCTTTGCTGTTCTTCTGTTTCGCACCTGGACCGCCTCCAGTTCGCTAGCCTGGTCGTCGGTGGCGTGTTCGTGTTCTGGCCGTCGGCTCGGTCTGTCGTTGCCCGGGATCTGTCGTCACGCGTGGAATCTTGCCTGGTCTCTTTTTGGCTCCCTCGTGGCCATGCCGGGTCCTCTGTCCGTCTGGCAACCGCCGACCAAGTTCGCCGCCTCTGGGGTCGCCTCTCTTTGCTCTCCGTGCCTGCTTAGGGGTATTACCTTCACGGACCGCTGCTTCGGCCTTCGCAGCTTCGAAGCCTTATCCGTTCAAGTTCCCCTGGGCCTACCACTTCATGGTCGGCACGTACCTTTTCAAGGACAACTCCCCCTACAAGTTCCAGCCCTGGCCACCCGCTGCTTGCTATGGGGCCCGCGCGCACCTCGGCATCCTCGCGCCGGCTTTCATGGTCTGAGCGGGTTTTTACCTTTTCCCCTCTTGCGCTCTGTTTTCTTTTGCCGTCGTGCCTCAATTCGTTCCTGGTGCAAGCGACCGCCTGCTACGACCGGCCTCAGAGTGTTTGGGGCCCCTTGGCGCCCGCAGATTTCAAAGTTTATGAACCCTTGGATTGCACGGGTGAGTAAAGGACTTGAGGCGAGGGGGGGGGCGAGAGGGTGTGGGGCGAGGTCTGGGACAGGTGGGAGTGGGGAGAAGGAGCAGTGGAGGGGGAGACATGGGGATCTGGCCAGGGCGGCCTTCTCTTATTGAAAGGGGTATGGAGGGGAAGGCATGTAGCATGCCTTCGGCACACATCGCGATGTGCGATGTGCTGACCATGGGGTGTTTTACGATCGATGCTGGAACTTTGTTTCAAAGCGGTGTGCAGGATAACGTGTACCCGGTATGCATACCATGTGCTTCAGGGTAGAATGTCCAGGCCATGCGAAATTAACTGATGCATATGGCACGCACTGTTCACGTGAGGAGTTTCGAAAACGGCCTTGCCTTCGAGGGCCGCAGGAGTTGCCATCTCTTCCGCGGCGGATTGCGGTGGAGTGGCGGCGGAAGGCGGTCGGCGGAAGCTGACGGAAGCTAAAGTCGACTTCCCAAGGAATGACAGCATTTTGGTCTTAGGGTCTCTGATATGTATCGTCAGCAGGCCGTTTTCCGTTCGGCCGCTTAGTGCGCGACCTCAGCCGCAATACTTGTTTTAAGCATAATGTCATATCGGTGTATATCGGCCGCCGAGTGCGCAACCTGTGGCGCTGCGCATAGCAGGCCGCTTGTTTCAGGCCGCCGAGGGCGCAATCTATAGCACAACTTTTCGGAGGCTCTTGCAGATTTTCGGCAGCAGAACGCGCTACGTACGGCGCAACCCGTGTACCCTACGGACTGTTCAACCCACGGTGCAAGTTTCGGCGCAACCAATGTCAGCAGGGGAATCAACACACGGACACCATTCATCGTCGACTCCCCAGAAGATACGGGAAAATATGGGACGTGGCGGGGCAAACAAAAACCCAGAACATATGGGGAAAAATGGGGAATCGTTTTTTTACTTGTGTGTATTCATTCGTGTGTCCCAGGGCCCCTTCACAGTGGCGCAGCCCATCGATGGCGCACCCCGCGTGCCCCGCGGTGCTCGCGCCCCGTGGCTCGCCACCCACGGACTGCGTCCAGCGAGCAATGCCCCCTCCTCCCTCCTCCTCCCCCTCCTCCCTCCTCCCTCCTCCTCCTCCATCCTCTCCTCCTCCTCCTCCCTCCTCCTCCTCCCTTCCTCCCTCCTCCCGCCTGCCCTCCTCCTCTCCTCCTCCTCCTCCCCTCCTCCTCCTCCTCCTCCAACACGATGCACCAGGGCGTGCCGAAACATTTCAAGAAGCCTCAGGAGGCCTCAGGAGGCCAAGGAGGCCCCGGAGTTCCCAGGAGGCCCCAGCAGCCCTCGGAAAGCACGGGTGAGCCCCAGGGACGCCAGAAGCCCGGGAGGTTCCAGGAGGCACTATGAGGCTCCATGGTGATCATGGTAACTGTAACGACCGTTGGGAGTAGGTCTCAGACAAAACGGACAGACCGCCCTATACGGCGTAGCACGGCATATAGCACAACATCTCGCATGGCAGTGCTTCATAGTGCAGCGCGTCATACGACATCGTCCACCGTGCTGGCTTGAGTTCTTTGGATCGGGTGTGGATCCTTGAAGTTGCGCGTCGATTGACGTTCCCAGATGACACGGCGTTGCAAGCAAGCTCGCACATCGTGTTGGAAGTCCTCTCTCCTGACGTGCATTCTCTTCCTCCTGATCCCACAAGCTGACTAGCGCCCGCGAGCTTTCCGCTCAACATGCAGTTTCTCTGGCTTTGTCCGCAGGCCACAGTATCGGCTTTAACCTGGAGAGGTTGGTCGATGGCGGTGGGCGAGAGGCAGGACTGATACTTTTCAGTGCGGGGAGCCCGCTAATCGCGATTGTCGCGATGAGCTGGCCAATAGAACGCATGCGAGCCACCCAGCAGTTCTATTGAGTACTGCTTCATGCGGTGCTCGCTGGCCGTTTGGGTGTCAGCTCACAGTTAGTTGCAGCTGCGCTGGTCGGTGGGGCATCGACGCAGCACGAGTTGGGCTAGCATGCGCAGCTGGGCAAGCACCGTGCGCGCGCGCGGGGCGTGCTTCGCTAGGCAAAACCATGTGTTGAGGACAGTGACGCGTGTTTGGACTGTGCGTGGGGCGTCATCGATTTATGCGGGAACTGACTCGCCCCATACTATGAGTTGAGCTCACCCGCTATGGATCTTGCTGCAGCCAGGTATCCACGTCTCGACCAGCAACACAGCGACGGAGTGCCCCCCTTGGCAGCCACGTGCGTCGGGCGCGGGCAGGAGGGTGTGCCTGGGGAGGGGGATTGATCCAGCACGAGAGGTCGTGCTGCTATACATTCAGGATGTGCTTCGCTTCCAGCTCGGAGGAGGTTTCCGCCGCGTCGTCGCTTGGCTCGTTTGAACCTCGCACAGGATGTGGCTCACGCCATAGGGCTTCTTGTAGGGTCCCAGTTCCACGCCGAAGCTCGGCGTCCTCGCTGATGTGCGAGGGGGAACGCTTAAGGTACGGGACACTGGTACGGGACATTGGTAGGGGAACGCCAGTATGGCCCTGGCCAAAGGGGCCGCTTCCTCCAGTAAGTGGCGCCCCCACCCCCCCAACCACTCTCCTTGGTGACGGAATGCTGGTTGGGGGGGTGCTTCTTGGCCTGGTGGTCTGGTGGTACACGTTGTGGTGGCAGTCGTGCTAGTTCTGGTGGTCGTAAAGGTCGTCACGGTGGGAGCCGTTGCATTAGTCGTAGTCAAAGGTGTAGTCGTAGCCGTAGTCGATGTAGTCGATGTAGTCGTAGTAGTAG